TGTTCATGCTTTCCACCTTCATTTCTCTCTGCCTTCTTTGCTGTGGTGCTGGGACAGAGCCAGGTCCATGAGTGCCGGTCAGGGACTCCACCAGGACCACAGCCACAGGCCCATCTCCCACCCTGTGGACACACAGACCTGCTCAAGGTCAAAGTGTAGGTCAACATAAAAATGGGTATTAGAACCAGCATTTCTCATCTCACTAGGCTCTTTTAACTACTTCATTTGATAGTTAAACACTCATTGTTGTAGCCAGGATATGCAAAGGAAAAGATTTAATAAGGACACATAGTTTATAGTATTATTTTATAATAATCACCCAAAGAGTCAAATGTAAAAAAGTGCAGACCAGTCCATGCACTCAAGCCAAAGAGCTGAATGAGGCCTGAATCCCATAGCAATGTCCTCTGTGAGTATAACTGTGGGCCAAGAGCCCACAACAACGTCTCATACAGGCCTGTTTCACGGATCAGCACTGGGAAGACCCGAAGTTCAGTGGTAGAAGCTACAAAGTCTGTGCTAACAGGATGAGGGATCTGCACTAGAGCAAGGGGGTGGTGCTCAAGGTAAGGCCCAGAGCTCCCTTGACGAGAACCATAGCCATCCTCAGGGACAGCAAAGACCCTCAATCTCCTCTGATGATGAGAACAGTTCAGTTCATGTCAAGAAAGCCAACATGACAAGCTTCTCAGGAGAATCAACAGAATCTTTTATGTTGTTGGCAACAATCCTCAGGGGGGCCTTCCACACCCAGCACCACGCTGATTCAGTTCAGGTGAGTGTTACAAGTTGACTACTAACCCAGGATACTGATTCACTTATTTATTTATTTTTTTAAAATGATGATTCTTTTTTTTTTTTAATTTTTTTTTAAATTTATGTGTGTGTGTGTGTGTGTGTGTGTGTGTGTGTGTGTGTGGCCAGCTCAGCCCACCAGGGGGCGGGGCTGGCTGGCATGTGGTGCTGGGGGATATGAACCGCGGTCCCTATGCTTTTAGTTTGTTCTAAATAGGTGCTTTAGACCACTGAGCCATCTCACCAGCCCCTCACTTATTTATTTTTTTGAGACAGAGGCTCACTGAATTGCCCAGGCAGGGCTCAAATTTGCTAATTTCCTGCCCCACCTTCTGAGTGCTGGGATTATAGATATGCACCACCATATGTGGCTTTTCTTTTCCTTAAGAGATGGAGATGCTATGTTTTCTGGGGTGGCTTCAAACTTTTGAGTTCAAGGGATCCTACCTCAACCTGAGAGTAGCTGGGACTCGGCCTGTGTCAACGCACCTGGCTCTTCCTCAATAACCTTTTTTTTTTTTTTTTGGCAGAACTGGGGATTGAACTCAGGCCTTTGCGTTTGCAAGGGAAGTGTTTATTCCACTGAGCCATCTCCCTCATTAATTTAAGCATTCATAATTCTGGATTAAGAACAAGGGCAATTGAGCTATTTTGCATAAAACTAAGTGGAATAAGATATCCAGGAGTAGAAATTTTGCTCCCTGGTTGCACAACCTCACTTATAGCTCTCACTCCTCCGCCTTGTGGTATGGAGGCTTGAATTTAGGGTCTTATGCATACATAGGCAAGTACTCTACCACTGATTTAGGTCACCTGCTCACCCATTGTTATTTACTGTTCCCTTTACCCCAGTGAGCTCTATAGCACACTTCTGTTCAACCACATAAAGCCTCTTTCATCTCAGAGCTCCTGAGACTAGGACTCCGCTTGTAATGGTCGTTATGTTATTACATCTTCTTATTTTATTTTATTTATTTATTTGCGGAACCGGGGATTGAACTCAGGCCCTTGCACTTGCCAGGGAAGCGCTTATTTCTTTTTTTAATATATTTGGTACAGAGTCTCACTGTGCAACTTGGACTCATAGCGATCCAGTTTTCAGCCTCCCCAGCCTTGAGATTACAGGTGTGTGCCACCACATGTGGTCTCAGTGACACACTCAGTGAGCATGGGGGCAGAGCCAGTGCAACATGTGGTGCCAGGGATCGAACCCTGGTCTGAGCTTGCCTAAGCAGGCACTTAGTCTGCTGAGCTATCTCGCTGGCCAGTTATTGCATCTTCTAAGGTGCTCCTTTGTCAGCTAACGCTTTAGGGTGAAACTGTACAAGGTCACTCTATAGAAAATGATTCACCTCCACCCACTTGTGTGCTCCCTTCTCCTGGTTTATCTATCTTCCACCTTACATGTGTACTTGTTTACTTCCTCACAAGATCCAGGAGTGCAGGATTTTAGTTTTGTTTATCTTCAGCACTTAGCACAGTTCTTAGCATATAGCAGATATTCAATAAACATTTTATTTTATTTTTTTAAAATTTATTGGGGCTGGGGAGATGGCTCAGTGGAATAAGCGCTTCCCTGGCAAGCGCAAGGGTCTGAGTTCAATCCCCAGTTCTGCCAAAAATAAAATAAAATAAAATAAAATAAAATAAATTTATTTATTTAGTGTGTGTGTGTGTGTGTGGCCAGTTCAGCCCACCAGGGGGCGGGGCTGGCTGGCACGTGGTGCTGGGGGATTGTGGTCCCTGTGCTTTGCTTAGCTTAGCTTGTTCTAAGTAGGTGCTTTAGACCACTGAGCCATCTCACCAGCCCTAAACATTTTATTTTAGCTCTGGGTATGGTGGAGCCTGAATACAATCCCAGCATTTAGGAAGCAGGATGATCATGAGTTCATGCCCACTTAGTGAGACACCATCTCAATTAAAAAAACAAAAACAAAAAAAAACCCCTTTAATAAAATTTAAAATAGTGTTGTACTTCTTATTGAACATGACGGCATGTACCTGTGATCTCAGCATTCTGTGAGGCTGGGGTAAGAGGATCCCAAATGAAACCTAGACAGGGCAATTTTGTAGGATTCTGTCTGAAAATAAAAAAAAAAAAAAAAAAAAAAAGGAAAGGGCTGAAGATGATCATGAGTTCAAGCCTATTTAGAAGATGTACCTCACTGTGAAGGTTTTGGGTTCAATGGGAGGGGGGGGAGACTGCTTCAGAAGTCAGGAGAGGATGAGATTAGCTTCCTTCTCCCAAGAAGCTGGAGGCAGGAGACCAAGCTAGAGGGTCATCTTTGGAATTGTCCACTTACAATTTGGAATGTCCTAAAGGCAACCTGAGAGTTGTCAGCAGAGTGGGGATGTGGGATGGAGGGCAGATGCTAAAAGGAATTCCTTGGGCTGACACGAGTGGTGTTAGAAATTCAAAGCCATACAGCTACATACGTAAATTCAGCAGCTGGTATACTGCAGCTCTGAATGCTATGGTACTTAAAACTAATCAGTTGCAACCAGTTTCAGATTTCTTTTTGCCTTCCCCATTTCCAACGCTTGACTACAACAGAACAAAACAAAAACCATATACACAAAATCCCCTTTATATTGCAGTTGTTTTCCTCAGCGCTGGGAATCAAACCCAGGCCCTTGCCCAGGCTAAGCAGGAGTCTCCATTAAGCTATACCCCCAGTCCTAGTTTTTGCTTATTCCCCCAGCACTGTGGACTGAAGTCAGGGCCTCAGCAGTGAGTTACAGCCCTAATCCTGTTTATTTTGAGGCAGGATCTTACTAAGTCACTAAACTGTCTAGGCTGATTTCAAACTTGCAGTCCTGCTTTAGTCTGAGTGCTGGATTACAAACATGTGCTACCATGCCTGGCTGTATTTTTTTTTTTTTTAAATGATTCCTATCTGGTTTAAAAGACAGTTCATAAAAGCAGTAATTATAAATACATGTTAACGAGCAAGTGATATATAAAATTTCATTGGTGACAATAAACAGTATAAGGTGGGGTAAGAAAGCTATAGCAGAGCAGAAATGTTTTGCGGGGCTGGAGATTAAACCTAGGGCCTTGTGTGTGTTAGATAAGTACTTTACCACAGAGCTACTCCTCCAGGCCTTTTTTAAACTTTGGGACAAGGTCTCACTAAGTTGCCCAGGTTTGGTTTGAACTTGTGACTGATCCTCTTGTGAGTCTCCCAGAGTGCTGGATCACAGACGTGCACCCCCACACTTGCCTTGGCTTCTTTAGGCTTTATCATTGAATTGTTCTAAAGGCCTTTGTGTAATAGGGTCTTAGAACAAATGACTCATCCCAGTTCTGTCCAAATAGTGTATTCAACTGTTGAATTAAAAATGTTAAGGGCCGGGGAGATGGCTCAGTGGAATAAGCACTTCCCTGGCAAGTGCAAGGGCCTGAGTTCAATCCCTAGTTCCACTAAAAAAATAAACTCCAACTTTTGGGCCAGGGCAATAGCTCAGTAGAATAAGCACTTGCCTGGTAAGCACAGGGTCCTTAGTTCAATCCCCGATACACCCCCCCAAAAAAAGAAAGTTAGCTGGATGTGGTTGTGACTCAGCAAGATCTTATCTCAAAACTTAAAAAAAAAAAAAAAAAAAAACAAGAGCTGGGGCTGCAGCTCCACATCAAGGCCCTGGGTTGTTCAATTTCTAGTACCACAGGACAGACTCCTGTGTTCATTATCTTCCTGCCTCAGCCTCTCAGACTACAGGGATTATAAACACAAACCACCACAGCTGGCAGCTGTATATGATTTATAATTCCAGTTGTCTCAATCTGTAAAATTTGAATGAGACCAATATGTATGATGAGTTCTTTAATCATTACATCTTTTGAAATAATCCTCTCTTGTTCCCCAGGCTGCTCCTGACCTTTAAAGCTTTCTCTGAATACTTGGTTCCTAGAGTTGGGGGAGTCCTCTTATCTGTGCCACGCCTCTCCCCTCTCAGCCCCGCCTTATTTTGTAGCACTCATCACATAGCACTTGTTTGTAAGTTCCCTGTTGCAGGCTCTGTTTAATTCCCTTTAGTACACAAGTAGTGTCTGTCCTACTACACCTTTGGGATAGAAGAAAAAGGAATTGGACAAGTTCACTGATGACAATTTATTACGTTTGCAGTATACAGACCAAATAGTAATTAGACCAGGATTATGTCTATATAGAAGTGGGCAAAGATAGATGCCATTCTGGGGGGGGACATGTGCATTTAATCATGAGTTAGTTGTTTGATCTTCTGCTTATGTCGTTCAATTTCTTTCTCCATACGTTCAATTGCCTTTTTATGATGATAGATTTCATCTTCATGATGTTTCTTCAAGGCTGCTAGTTGTTCTTTAGTCTTCTGTCTATAAGGACATAGTGACTCAGGGCTTAATTCCAATCTTTTATCCCAAAGAGCTTTTACAGCATAACCTGTAAGCCCTAAAGTGGTGCCCCTCATCCCCTCCATGAGTGGCCTTGCTCTTCTACCCTGACTCCACTAGCAAAGACACATGGTTAAGGGAAAAATATCAAATCTCAATTTGCCTGGGCCTTTCTTTGCCTAAAAAAATACATGGTCCACAGAAGGGTCTCTTGCAAGTACAGTGCTTAGAAGTCCAGCTGAAGTCTCAATAGGGGGCTTGCCCAAGAGCTCAGTTGTTTAAAGTGCCTGCTTGGACAAACTCTCCAGTTCCATGAGACCCACCCTTAGGGCATCCGAGGCTAGAAAAAAAAAAAAAAAATTCCTCTCCAGTTTTAGGGCAGGTGAAATAGCTCAGCAGTCTAAAGTGCCTGCTAGACAAAATTAGGCAAAGCACAGGGACCGTGGTTCGCTCCTGATACCACATGCCTTTCCACTCCTAGCCCCCTCAAAACCAATGGCTTTGCAGCCCTTAGGGCCTCAGTTTTCTTTAACTGTAGAGGCCCAAATAGATGGCCTCAAAGGGCTGTATTCAAGTAGGTGCCACTGTAAGACAATTTCTTTTGTCTTGTGCTGGGACTGAACCCAAGGACTCTTTTTTTTTTTTTGTGAAACCGGGGATTGAACTCAGGCCCTTGCACTTGCCAGGGAAGCGCTTATTCCACTGAGCCATCTCCCCAGCCCCAACCCAAGGACTCTTGTGCGCTATGCACCTACTCTACCACTGAGCAACACCCCCACCCCCATGATTAATCTTAGGTCATAGACCAAAGGTGAAGCAGAAACAAGATTAGTTCCTTGTTGCTCCCAGCTGTGGAGAAAAGTCAGTTAACAATAACTCAGGACTGGGAAAGCAAGTAGACTGCCCACTCCTTGGCAATCTCTAGCCCAAAGCCTGGGCTGGGTTAGGGCAAAAGTCAGGTCCTGCCAGTTCTGATTACACCTCGTCACCCTTTAGGAATTGTGTCTGGAAACAGCTGAGAGGGTCTCAAAGCTCAGGGACTCCATGTGGGTTTTCAAAGCCAAGGTGTAAGGAGAAGAAGGTAAGTGATTGATAAGTGAGCCTTGACGGAGTCAGGCTCAGAGATACCGCAAATTATTGGACAGTCGGATCTAGACACTGTGAGAACATTTAGCTCCACCCAGGATCGGGGGTGAGGAGACGGTAAATGATAAACAGGAGTTGAGCCGAGGACGGAGCGTCCTGGAGATGGTGGAAAAGGCCAGGGGCTTAGGATCCAGGTGCTGTTGCGCAAAGGACTGGGTGCGCCCTATAGATGGTAAAGGCCAGGAGCCCAAATGTTAGGACGGAGAGGGCCTGCTGAGGATGGGCGCCCCACGGCACCAGATGTGGGAGGGGCGACGAGAAATTTAAGAAGGACTGGAAGGCTCTGGAAGCTCTAGGGTTGGACTTGGGACCCGGTGGGCCTTACCGGAAGAAGCGCTCCTCTTCAGCCTGCTCTCTCTTCGAGAAGGCCCCACCGGCGTCTCGGATCGAGCCGGAAGAACTCTCATGATCCTGCGACAGCGGAGAGAGACCCGGGCGTTGGTAGGGATGTAGAGAAAAAAATGGGATTCGTGTTCAGGGTTGGGGCAACGGATGCTGCCGCGGCGTACCTTATCCGAGCTGAAGCCTCGGGTTTGCATGGCCCTCATTCCCCAAACGCCGAGCCGAGCCCGAGACGCCAACGCCGTACCTGCCATTGTTCCTAACGCAGTAGCCGCTCGTCACTTGGCGTGGCAGCTTGTCTATAGGCGCTAAACTCGCGGCTGGCCAAACAGCCAGTCTTTTCGGAAAAGAGGTGGGACATATGCAGGAGTGACCAATAAGGAGAGTGAAGAGGCGGGGCTTCTGGAGTCTTCAGCAAATCCTGAGCGAGAGGCGGGACCATTCTTAGCCAACTGTGAACGGCGGCCCCCGGAACAACGGAAAAGACAATTTTGTTGGTGGAGGGTGACGAAGAGGCTCTGTACAGCGTAAGGAACAAGAATTTCGGCTCCTGGGCCCATCAGTGTGAAAGAGGAGTGCAGTTCTGCAGTTGATGTTATTGAACGAAAAGCAAGCCCTCGCTTTCGTGGCTCACTGGTATCATTACGGTTGTGACTATAAGGGAAGACGATGTTCAGTACTTCAGAGTGTGCTTTCAAAACCGCGTTCATCTCGTAGGAGCGCCAAAGTTCTTTTATTGCATTGACATTTCAGTGTCAAATCTCAGTTTAAATTTCACCTTCTCAGAGAAACATTACCCGAGTTTCTTAATCATTCACCAGCGATTCTAGCACATCTCCCAGTTTCATGTTTTGCCTCCTTCACGTGGTTCACCTCGTGAAGCCATCAGGGTCTTAAGTAGGTAGTGACTTGATATTTGTAAATGTTGAATGGACCTGATAACTGAAATTTTATTAATATGGCATGATTGAATGGAGTCTAAGAATTTTGGCTTTTTATTTTTATTTTTTATTTTTGGCGGAACCGGGGCTTGAACTCAGGTTCTTTGCGCTTGCCGCGGAAGCGCTTATTTCACTGAGCCATCTCCCCGGCCCCCTTTTTATTCAATTAATGTGAATACGACGACAGTAGTCATGAAGTTTACAGTCCGTACTTGCTTATGTAATTTCCGCTGTCTGGGCCCAGTTTCTTTTCCTTTAAATGAGGGATTTGGGCCAGATTATTATTTTATTCATTGTTATAAAATAATTTTTTTTGAAACAGAGTCTTGTGATATAGCTCAGCTGGCATCAAACTCAGGTTCTTTCTGCCATAG